TTTTCCCAGATCCTCTTTTGTTGCCAGTTCAGAGAGTCCAGGTGGTTGAGTATCAGATTGTTCCATCTTGTTTCCCTTTGGGGTTGCTGTAGGTGATCTGGAACTCTGTTTTTGAGGCTTGCTTATATGTTTTCTCATTTCCACGGGGGGCGGGGGGTGTACTTCTGGTGACCACGAGGCTCACCTTCCCTGGGGAGCTTCCTTCTGGGTGTTGGGAGTGGGTCAGCTTCTCTGCCCTAGGAGCCTGGGATGGCAGCAGGGGAACTTCCTTCTGGGTGCTGGTACTGGCTGAGCTTCTCTGCCCTAGGAGCCTGTGATGGAGGCAGGGATCTTCTTTCCCGGTTCTGGGACCGGCTGAGCTTCTCTGCCCTTTGGGCCGGGAGTGGAGGGATTCAGTACTGTGGTCTGGTGGTCCGGTGTCCTCTGTGTCTTTGTAATGTGGAACCAGGTGGCTGTACACAGGAGTGGGGGGTGGAGGGTGTCCAGTGGATTGTTGCCGGGGCACAGGCTGATTTGGCGAGTTCTGCGCAACTCGCGCCCTCAGTAGGGTGTGCCCCTTTGCCTATTTGTTTCCTATTTGACATTATCTATTATACCTTTTAGTCCTTATTTACACTTTCAGTCTCTCAAAGTAGAGAAACTATTCAGTATTTACACGTGTGTCCTATTTATTTCTCTTAAGAGTATTGCCTCAATGTCCACCCATTTAGCTATAAATGTCTCTAATTTCTCATTTTTTATGGCTGAGGAGTACTCCATTTTATTAAAAAACCAAATTTTCTTTATCCAGTCTCCAGTTGATGGGCATTTGGGCTGCTTCCAAGTTTTAGCTGTTACCAACTGTGCTGCTATGAACATGGGTGCACATGTATCACTGTGGTATGATTCTTTTAAATCTTTGAGGAAGATAACCAACAGGGGAATAGCTGGGTCAAATGGGACTTCCAGTCCTAGTTCTTTGAGGTATCTCCATTCTGATTTCCACAGTGGTTGCACCAGTCTACACTCCCACCAGCAG